TGGAATAGATTTTCCTTCAATATCAAATTTAAATTTACTGTCTTTGACCCAATGCATTCCTCTATGGCAGCAAGGGCAAATTTTTGGAGATTTGTTATTATTCTTCTTAGGGCAGTCCCTTTTTAAATGGTTTTTATCTCCACATGTAAAGCATCCTTCATTTCCCTTTTTAAAAGGTAGTAGCCATTGTTTCAGCTAGTATTTGCGTCTTTTGAGTTTTTGATCCTAGACTTTGAGAAATAATCAATAATAGTCCTAGTCTCACAAATTGCAGCTATAGCTCTTTGACATTTCTGATTTGCATTCTCATAAGCAAGTAATCTCTCTAGCTGTTTTTTGGTTTCTTCTTTGATTACAGTATGGGAAATAGTAGCTTCTAATCTAGCTAAAAAATTAGCATAACTTTCATTAGGTTCCAACAAAGGAGAGACTTTTGGAGTTGTGACTGTTGGCAGAGGAGGAGCATTTGGAGCAGCCGGGGCAGGGCTAATAAGAAAATTTTGAGATATTTTGTATTGTTTTAATTGGGCTTTTTGTAAAGTTTTATCATTTAATTTATATTTATGTAATAAGTGTTCTGTCTGTTGCTGAATATTGGAAGGGCTAGAATGTACCTTGAAATGGCAGAATTACAGCTTTAATGAGAGCCCATAGGGGCTAGAGATCAATTGGAATATTTTTTCCTTGTGTGGATGCTCATTTAACATTTCCTTTGACCCAGAGACAAATTTCTAAATCAAAACTGCATTTATCAGGAAACTAAGGATTATGTTCAACTACTGTTTGAAGGCAAGCCTCTGTTCATTGCTGTGAAACCAGAAGTTCCTGAAATTTAAACAAATGGTGAGGTAAAGTAGAAAATAATGGGGCTGGCCAGCTGTGTGATCCATGCCTTAGTACTTACCGACCTCAATAGGTCCCTGAGTCACTCCACCCGATATGCCACGTATACCAGTGTCCCTGTTCAGGCGCCATTTGTTGGGGTCCTTTAATGGACTGGAACCTGGTGGTATGGAGTCGACGATAAGAAAGTAAAAGAGAGAAAAAGAAAGAGAGACACAAAAAGACCCGGGGACCTAAGCTCTGATGGAGCAAAGGTGCTTTAGTGATTTTTCTATGAGTATATATAGGCTGTGGTACAAGAAACTTCTTTCTGGAATGACAGAGATCAGAAAACCAAGCATACAGCAACCGTTACCAAGGGAACAAGGGGTAATGTTAGTCACAAGGTCAGGAGACAATCCATATCTCAAGAAAGGGGAGCGAGACTAAGCAATTTTGTCCTAAAGAGAATGTTTACTAAAGGAGACCCAAGCCTGCCTCACACAATGACCTCAGTCCCTGGGAGCAGCGTGCTGTTCCGCTTGAAGAGGGACAGAGGACTCATGAGAGACGGCACGTAGGAATCCTCCCGTCAAACATCCCCTGACAGCAAAGGAAATCTTAAACAAAATAAAAAGACAACCCAGAGAATGGGAGAAGATATTTGCAAATGAAATGACTGACAAAGGATTAATCTCTAAAATATGGAAGCAGCTCATGCAGCTCAATAACAAGAAACAAATGACCCCTCAAAAAATTGACAGATCTAAGCAGACATTTCTCCAAAGAAGACATACAGATGGCCAACAAACGTGTGGAAAGATGCTCAACATTGCTAATTATAAGAGAAATGCAAATGAAAACTCCAATGAGGTATCACCTCACACTGGTCAGAATGTCCCTCATCAAAAATATACAAACAATAAAAGCTGGAGAGGGTTTGGAGAAAAGGGAACCCTTTTACACTGTTGGGGGAAATGCAAATTGATACAGCCACTATGGAGAATATATGGAGTTTCCTTAAAAAAAATATGAAAGTAGAGGTGTCATGATTCAGCAATCCCACTACTGGGCATATGTCCAGAGAAAACTCTTTGGAAACATACATGCACCCCACTGTTCACTGCAGCACCATTAACAATAGTTAAGACTTGTAAGCAACCTATGTGTCCAATGACAGATGAATGGATAAAGATGTGGTATATGCATCCAATGGAATATTACTCAGCCATAAAAGAAGAATGAAATGATGTCATTTTCAGCAGCATGGATGGATTTGGTGATTATCATACTAAGTGAATTAAGTCAAACAGAGAAAGACAAATATCATATAATGTTACTTATATATGGAATCATTTTTTAAATGATACAATGAGCTTATTTATAAAACAGAAGCAGACTCAACAGCATTAGAAAACAAACATGTTTACCAAGGGAACAAGTCAGGGGGGTAAATTAGAAATTTTAGATTAACACACACACACTACTCTTTATAAAACAGATAATCAACAATGACCTACTATATAGCACAAGGAACTCTACTCA